GAAGCAGCCAGTGTTTACACATGCGAGTCTGATGTATTTCACTTGTAAGTGTGGTCTCAATTTGCATCCATTTGCCTAGAAATGTCTCAGGTTTATCCTTTATGCCTGAGTAGTACTCTACTACATAAAAAGATGACCTCCTTTTATCCACTCTTTGGCTGATGGGCATTTGGGCTGTTTCCAAGGTTTAGCTATTACACGTCACACTACTATTACCCTGGGTGCACTCACGGCACTTCACTGATAAATCCCAGCGTGCAGTCTGAGGAACTACTGCAAGATGCTTGATGTTGCTGCCCCTGCGCCTGTTCCTAGCCGTGAGAGCCCCATCAGACCGAAGCTGTACTCTCTTCTTGTTAGCTCAACTTCTGACTTTTTTGCAGAAACAAATTTTAAAAATCAATTCTTACTAGAAATACAGCTACTACACTCAGTAATTGTCCAAAATTTAAAACACAAAATAAGTATTTAAAAAATACACACAAATACAAGCCTTTCATAATAAATATTGCTGCAGTGATATATTGAAGAGTTTAACAGTCTTTTCTGGTTTTCTTTCATGGATAACATGGGGTCTGCTTCTGTGTCTTTGTGTGAAAGGCTCAGACCGATTGAATGTTGCAATGAGATGTGTGGTAGTTAACCTCTCATTGAGATACAGGTTTTAAAATTAGTCTCTGTTGGTATCAAACATTTAAAGATATGACTAGGAAAATGTCCACTTCTGTGTATCATTTCTGAAAGTATGCAGTGAATAAGCAGAGAACACGCTTGCCATTTTGGGGTGCTGGGTAGGCTGCACCAAAGAGACCCCTGTCCTTCTCTGGGATGTGAACAGACAGCACCGCTCTCCTGAGGATGCTGGGCACCAAGTGCACAGCACAGAAGAGCTTCTGCCCCACCTAGAGGCTCAGGTGCTCAGTGGTCCTTTTCTCCCCAAAATATATGCCAGGCTCACCTTTAAGGACTCAGGGAGGGCCATCCTCAAAGATTTCTCCAGCATCTGCAGCTTCTGTGAACCTTGCAAGTGGAACATCTTGGCAAGTGCCTCAGTCTGCGGGGACAGGGAAAATAGGCAGGTGTGACAGGAGGCTTCCATTTATTTCAACAAACCACCATGAGTGGTCACTATATAAATAACAGGAATTTGTGTCTCACACATCCCTGTGCCGGTGGACTCAGAGTCCGGGGAAGGTCTGCCTGCTGCTTCACGGAGAGCACCTTCTGACCATGTCACCAACAGTGGAAGGACATGGCAGCCTTCTGGGATCCACCCTTGTGACCTGCTCGCTCCCCGATGGCTGGTTTACCTGAGCATTGGTGACATGAAAGAACAAGCTGCCCTGTTTGATTCCTGATGTTCCTTGTGTACTGAAGTTTAAGGAAGTGGTCTTATAAGCTGATTCCGTTCCTCGTGTGCGTTAAGTGCACCTGAAGGGAGGCATGTACATGCACAAGCCCTTGCATGCAGTGTGTCAGGTGTGCCAACAAGTGCCTTGTGGAGTGAGCACGATTCATTTTCTCTTCTAAGTTATACGCTAAGTGTTCTTTTAATTATTTTCATTTCGTTAGGTCTGTGTGCAATATAGTAACTGCATTCACTTTGAGGGCCGCACGTAGCTACCTGCATATCGTCTCGCCCATTTCACTTCCCCTCCCCCTCCCTCTTGCCTCCCCTCCCCATATCTCCTTCCCATCTCCACACAGTGTACTGGCCACGTTTCCTGGCATCTCTCGGGTATGGCACCCTTTAGAATATTTATATTTGGTGTTTTTACATGAGGGAAGCCACGCGATGATCCTGCTTCTGTGCCTGCCTACTCTCAGCGTTGTGGTCTCGGGAAGCGTTCGTCTTCCGGCACATGAGCCGAGGGACCCTTCTCTATGGCAGAGTAGTAGCAGGACGTGGACGAGGCAGGGCTGGCACCATCCCTTTTTCTAAGCTTGCTATGAAGGACAGGACCCCAGAAAGGCACCACAGAAGTTCAGCAGAGCCACTCCAAGAAGCCGCTGTGGCAGGAGAAGCAGGCACTGGCTGATGTCTAAGCCCGGGATTTTCTTCAGGGCCTGCAGCTGGTGTCACATACAGCAGAGTCTCTACCAAACTCCAGAGAGGATGACAGTGGCCAAAATGTAAGCTTGTGCTCTCTAAATTTACCATCTTTTCTATCATTCTGAATTCTATTCATTACAGTAAGTTGGGGGAGGTTGGTGTTTTTGAAATGAGGTATCATTATGAGCGTAAGATGAGTTTCTTTCTCCCAGGATAAATCTCATGGATTGGGCCTATAAAGCTTTTTATGTAGTACTAGATAAAATTCTATTACACTGTTGAAAATTTCTTCATTTGTGCAGCTGGGATAACGAGGCTACACGTGTCCTTATCTGGCCTTGATATAATGAGGCTCGCCTTTGCAGCCTGCACACGGAGTCTGCTGCGCAAGCGGGCACGCGCTGGCTCAGAAGTTGACGCTAAGAGCAGCAGGAAGTAGGATGTTCAGCGCAAAAGGCAGAATGAAGCCCAGCGTGGCCCTGGGAGCAGCACAGCGCAGCAGCGCGAAGAGACGAAGTCCACAGCAGCTTGGGGCTGAGTCTGCCCATTAACGGAAATGGGGATCAAGTCGAGTGGAGAAAATGAGGCCTTGGGATGCTTTGGGAAAGAAACATTAACAGGAAAGTACGCGCCACACTCCCCATGCCCAGCACAAGGAGGAGACAATAAAAATGACAAGATCACAGCCCGTCACAGCTCCAAGGAGCCGTGAGCCCAGGAAGGACAATACACACATGTGCACACACTGAGGAGGATTGTTTTTTGTTTGTTTTTTTGGCCAGGCTCTGAATGCCTTCAGGGCAGCTTTGGCTGGCTTGAGTTGTGGGGATCGAACTACAGCAACCTGAGCCTGACTGCTTTGTGGAAGCAGCCACATAAAGAACTGAGCTACTGGGCAGGACCCCAATGGCAGAAGGATTTTTTTTTTTCATACTGAGGAGTATTAAGAGGAAAAATCATTGTACAGCACGTCTTTAGATTGTGCCAATCTTTGATTATATATACTCAATAAGCCAGCCTAAAAAAACACTAAAATACAGAACAGTAAGATTAGAGGGAAGAACAAACCATTGCAGGCTACTTCTACGCTACAGCATTTAAATGGAACCTTTTAAGCTATCTTTCTTTTTCACATCAACTAAATCCACAGTAAATCTGGCCCTTGTTCTTTTGCATATCTCTACATGCTTCTTCTTGAGATTGAATGAGTGCTTCACTTTCATGGTTAACATTTACCCAATTAATAAGCTGCTTTTCATGAAAGTTTTCCTAAAGAAGCAAAGAGAATAAAGTCTAAATACCATCGGCATGCAAAAGATGCTAAATAAATGTTATTGGATCAATATTTTCAATGCAATATCCTTTCTTTTCACCCAGCAGCTTGCAAAATCACTCTGTGATTGTTTTCTCCTCAGGGGAAAAACACAGCTTAGTTATCAGAATCTTTCTACACCGCCTTCTGCTGGAGTAATCAAGGTAAATATGCCTTCGTTCCCCTCCAGTAAGGATCAACGAAGCAGATCAGTACTTTCTTTGAAAAACCAACATGAATATTTGATTTTCCCCAGTTTGCTATGGGAGGAAAGGGCAGAGTTTTTACCTTGTGAGATGTGTGTTTCTTGGAAAAGCTGTGGCCAGAGAGAGCTTTCAGGATTAAGTGGCAAGTGGGGAATTTCCAGGTCAGGACAGTCTCTTTATCCTGGCACATAGAGGTAGATATGTGGTAAATTTTTTACAGAAGTTACTAAGCTGAGGATCTCTTGTGGACCTTGCTCTTTTAAGAAAAACAAGGAAAAGGTGCTGGCTGGCATGAGGCTCAGAGGCATGAGCACTTCCCTCCTGCTTCCATGGTCTCAGGAGCTGACTTTGGAGAACTGGGAGTATAGCCGTGCACCTCCTGTAGAATTCTGCCTGTAGTGTCATTTTTCTGTCTGTCCTGTCCAAAGGCAGCTGCAAGCCAAGGCCTGGGATGATCTGATAGTGAGGGAAGCCCTTCTTGCTTCAGTCTTTCCTTTCCAGTCACCTATGGCAGAGGTACATTGAGGCCTTTGAACCAGAGCTCCCCTCATGCATAAGCAGAACAGAAAGTCTGCTAAGTGTCCAGAGTGCTGAAGGCTTTCTCTCATTTTTCAAAGACTGCACTCTCCTTTGCCTTTGGGTGCTCTCACTTAAACATCACAGTAATGATTCAGCAGTTTTCAGTCACACTGTTAATAGATGTGGAAGCTGTAGCTCAGGGAGCTTGGACGTCTCCCTGTTGGTTGTATAGCTACTCAGTGAGGGCAACAGGATTCATGGCAGAGCCCTGTCGACAGAGCAACCCATACTCACAGAGAGCACTGCTGTCCTAACACTAGGACATGCTTTCCTACTTGGAGTGGGTGAGCTAATAGGGGAATTTCTCATAGCAAGTCTATTACATGAGAAACAACCCCCCAAACTTCAAGTTTCTAGTGTCTTTGTCTTTGAATGTATTTTTTTCCCTACCATATTAACTGATAATTTCATTATGGATGAAGAGATTTAATTGGAACAAAGACCCTGGCAACTGTGTGCATGCAACTAAATGCATGCAATATTCCAAGACTTTTTCTGTACAGCTCCAAGCAGCCCTGGTTCTCCCTCAATGACCAGGAAAACAACACAATCCAATGTATACAAGTGTGCTGGGTCACATCCACATCAACCACTTCATATCTATGCTGCTTTTCTCAGATGTGGTTTTGTTTACAAGTCTAAAATATTTCCTAAGTGACTAATTAGAAATCATTTGCCTGCTCTCACTTGGAAACATTAATTTTTTATGTTGCTCCTATAGCTTTGTCTTTGCCTTGGATTTAAAAAACATGACCTCTTCCCTGAGAACAATGCTGCAACAGCTCCTCAAAGGTGGCAGAGCTCCTGTCACCAAGGTGTGGAGGATGTACAGCAGGCTGAGATGTGTTTAGGCCCCAGTCACAAAGACCTGGGCACCGCTGCTTCCGTCTCCCGGCCTGCACTCCCATGTCCAATCATGAGGCCGAGGACTCCCCATCTGCCTCGGAACCCAGAGATCTGACTCAGACGTCTGCTCCTCTTTGTGCTGTGCAAGTCACTTACCTTCTACAGCATGGTTCCCTGTCTGGGGCGCAACACTGTTGTGTTAAACAAGGTAAACTCTCAGTTTGTTGTTGAGCTGAGACCACCACCAGCTTCCCCGAACATAGAGCTAGGAATGCTAAAATAACATCTGAAGAAACTCTTCAAAAAGACTTCCTAAGGCAGCTGTAGCCTGCCTTCCCAATGTCTCAGTGATACATTTGTTGAATGTATTCACTTCTGACTTTTTTGTTATTTGGCTTTAAAAGTTCCTGTAACCTCTGTTATAGTTTTTGTCTAGATGTCCCCTCAAAGCCTCATGCAGTCATGGGGCAGCTTCTAGAGTTTGTGATTAATTCATGCTCCAGTGCTGGGAATATGGGGTGAGTGCTGCCTCCACCCTGAGGTGCGGAGCCTGCATACAAATTATAAGGGAGGGAAAGAGGTCTGCTCTTCTCATTTCTCTTGTTGCTTTTGCTATTTTCTGCCACCATGGATTGCAGCCCCTGCCACATGCCACTCTGCCTTGGAGCCAGCTGAGTATGGACTGAAACCTCCACTACCTGTGAGCTAAATAAATCTTTTCTTCCTTAATTCTGGGTGTCAGGCATTTTGTCTCAGCAATGACAGAAAAGCAAGCAAGACAACCTCTTTTTGTTGTTGCTCGTGTTGACAGTGGTTGTAAGAAGCCACGTTACTCCTCTCCATATGTAAGGTGTCATTCAGGAAACCTTAACCCATGTTCTAAGGTCACAGGCACTTTTACTAGGCTCAGAATAAAGTCTTTTTATACCTTTAAAACAAAGTTCTCATATCTAAACCAGGGTTTAAAAAGTTAAATGGGTCAGCAGAACCAAAAATTACCTTGATGTAGGGCAAGGTGTTTCTGTAAACATGTTGCTCAAAATACTGAGTCATAGTCTTTGTTGGCTATTGCAGAACTGCTAGCGTGATACACGCACTCAGTGAGACCCACCGCTGAAGAACATGTAAGAGATGGTGCATTTTCCTAGTACACAGACGTGCACAGTCCAGACAACTCTGCTTTTCTAAAGGCCCACTCAGGTCTCAGCTCCGGTGAGCATTCCTGCCCTACTCGCAGTGGGTAAGTGGGCACTGCTCATCCAGCTTGCAAATGAATCTGTCTATATTTGGAATGTTTCCTGTCGATGAAGCCACTGTGTGAAAACGTTACCCTAAATGTAACCAGATACTCAGAGAGAAAAGATAATGTATTTTAAAATCACAGACAACAGGATTGTCCTAAATTACCTGCATCGTAATGGGTACTAAGTTAGGAAAGGAAGAAATGTTTTCCTGACTTACAAGTGTAGACACCTATTTTATGATGCATGAAATGGATGGTTCCCGCTCACCTCCGGAACGGATGCATGTACATTCCGAGGTGATCTCAGTGGTGCAGGAATCCAACAAGTGGCTGGAGAAGATGCAAGCCTGCCCGTGACCCTGAAGCAGGCCAAGTAAAGACTACAACTGCATCCGATGTGGCTCAAAGGACTGAAGTGTGCTGGCTGCACAACAGTGAGTGAGGGGGATGGTAGCCGATGGCCTGGTGCGGTCCCAAGCTGATGCTCAGGAACGAGCCCAGGTGGGATCACTTAAGGCTTCGGGAGAACTTTACACTTCAGATGCCGGCAGAACTCATGGTTCCCCCAGGGGCTTGGGAGGCAGAAGGTTCTGTGTGGGTGAGGTTTGCTCCAAGGGTTCATGTATAAGAGCTGGTGTGGGAGGAAGTCTGAACCGTGGAGATGGTTGGGAACACAGGGAGAGATACTGTCATCGGAAGTGCTGCCTCAGAAGGAAAGTAGGGCAGGCAAGATAGCTCAGTGGACTAAGCACCTGCTTTGGCAATCTCAGGGGCCAGGGTTTGATCCCCTGTCCTGCATGCACGCTGGCCCTGTACTCGAGGTGCACAGAGCTGGCGACTAAGTCCGGGCATGCACACCTATAATCCCAGTGCTGGGGAGGTTGCAAACAGGAGGCTCACTATGAGTCCAAACTGCATAGTGACACCCAGTACCAAATACATAAATGAAAAACAAACAACGAAGGAATTGAAATGATTTGCACCACTGGAGAAGCTAATGCTCAAAACATTCTTCTGTTGTCTGGAGGTGGGCGCTGCTTGTCTCATACCTATGCTTGAATGCACCGTTTGTGATGAGATATTCACCGCAACACGTGATTCCTATGCCCTGCCTGTGAACCTCTAGAATGGGAGGCTAAGTAACCCTCTTTTCTTCATAAAGTCACCCCACCTCAGGTATTTCATGATAATAACGATGAACAGATTGGGGAAACCACAAACACCAATCTTATCAGGAGCCTGTGCATCTGGTGTCAACAGCTTCACTAGTCCAAGATGACAAGGTCTTGTTTTCCAAGCCTGGATCTGTCTAGTCATCAAGAAATGAGTAAACTATGAAAATGTTTAAAGAATCAGACCTATAACACTGATGTTTTAGTATGAAAAGGAAGATCAAATTGTGGGATAATTTGTTTTTATAACTTGCAGCCGAATTTTATCCATTGAAGTCTTTTAACTAAAAATGCACCTTTGAATAATTGGTTTAGAGTTATAAGTTTTATTATTATGAGAATTTGGTATGAGTTTGGAAGACCTACTACATCGTTTAATTCACTAACTTTATTGTAAGTTTAATTGCTAGAGTTTTAAGAGTTATTTGCTAGTTAGGATGATACTATTTCTGACAGATAATACCTCTTCAAAAGAAAAATTACAAATATAGTTTGTATCATTAAATGTATTTAATATACTAGTTTTATAAATGGATCTGTTCACATCTATGGGTACTTAAAAATAAATTGCTTGCATTTCAGACCTGTGAACTGGAGATAGAATAAGGAATTCGTATGAAAATGCTTTTTTTTTTTTCATTTGTGTATTTGTTACAGGGTCTCACTACACATCTTGGACTCGTAGTGATCCTCCTGTTTTCAGCCTCCTCAGAACTGGGATTATAGGTATACACTACCACACCTGGACTTGGTCACAGGCTCACTGTGCCCTGGGGGTAGGGCTCTTGCATCATGCCAGACCAGGGATCAAATCCCGGTCCCTAGACTTGCCAAAGTAGGAGTTCAATCTACCAAGCTATCTTGCTGGCCCTGAAAATGAATTTTTAAAATGCAAATTTACTGGTAGAAAATCCTTGAGAGCTATAAATGTGACACAGAATTAGTATCGCAAATACATAAAAACATAAAATTTACAAATGGAGGAACAAATAATATAATCAATAAGTAGATAACTGTACTAAAGAGGAAGTGCAAATACACAGTAAATGTGTGAAAAATGCTCAACATGCTTAAACATTAGAAAGGCAAATAAAATATTTTTATTAATTTTCTTGAGAAACAAATAGCAATGACACAGTTTCAAACAGGTTAGTTGGACAGATACAATAATAATACATTTTATATTGTTGTCTTCATAGTAGTTATTCATAGTACAAGATGCACATATGATATCCTATCCAAACACTATTAATACAAATCTTTCTTCTTATTGAATTAAGAGAAAGTAGCTGTTTATCTATCCTAACGATTTTGTACATAC